GTCTCTCCTCCCCCCATTCATCTGTGTATGTTGTGTACGGGGCTGAGCACCTTCTTTGTATGGCTCAGACCCCACCATCTCACAATTGTATGTGTGTGGAGTGATGCTATGTGACTCAGTCTATGTGAGTCAGTCCGTTTATCAGACTTCCGTTGCATCTATACTCATCCTACATTGGTTGATTCTTGGTTCTGCCGATACTCATTGGAGTATGTAACAGTTTTGGTATCGGAGCAGACCATAAAACGGATCTACTCACCAGGTAAGTCCGTTAGAAGAAGATTATTTGTTTGACCTTCTAAATCGGCGCTGAATTTATTATCAAGTTCAAAGTTGCAAAATTTTTCTTTTCGGTACTCTATTTAGTTCGGCGTTTCCGTTCAATTCGGTATTCGGACTTATAATTCGGATTTCTGTTTTCTTCCGGTATGCTGCTATTTGAGTTCCGATTGAGTAATACTAATCCGATAATTGATTAAGTTTCGGATTTCTGATGTTACACGAATTAGGGTTGAATCAGTATCATGTTGAAATTCGGCGTTTCTGATTTCCATTCAGCATTCCGTTTTCAGCATTTTTTGTTGTAAATCCTATATTTCGTTGTCTTTTGGATTTCCGTTGTCTTTCAGTATGGGAATTAGGGTTATGAAAATCTTTTGGTTTTAGATCAACTTGGGGAAATCCGAACGTTTTCGGGACCGTAAATCCGGAAATTTCGCCGAAACGCGGAAATTAGGGTTGGGACCGAAATTTTCGCGAATTTTTTTCCCGTTCTCCTTGTTTGAGGAATTCCGAAAATAGGCTTAGGCTTTTAAAACATCGGATTTTGACGGTGGAAATTCCCAAAATTTTGCATTTTTGAAAATTCGAGCGTTTTTTCTGCTGAAATTTTCCGAAAAATTTTTTAGCACACTAAGCCGTATCTGACTCTCAAATTGCAACTTCCGGGTAGTTCACTCAGTAACGGTGAACTCCCGGACTCAAAGTGATCTCAAAGAGACCCAATCATAATACCTTTCAAATTCGTTTATTAATTGGTTATCTTTATTACAAACACTGTTTTACTGATTATCATTAATTGGTTATCTTTATTACAAACATTGTTTTACTGATTATCATTCGGATTTATTTCGTTAATTATCATTAATTAATTTTCTTGATTAAATCGTTATTAATTCCTTATTACGAACTTTTTGAAGGGTTTACGGGAATTTATTTTTTTCCTATTTGATTAGGTGTCTACAGTCCATCAGTGGGACAGGGGATTGTATGTATATTGCTTGATTGTTCTACCCCTGTTCCCACTCTACATACCCCCCTGTAATCTGTGAACACCGGCACCTCTCAAGTACCGCATCAGTTCGAGACTGATGTCGACGGAACAGGACACCGGGGCACTGCCACGGCGCAGTGCCAGGATCGCAGTTCGTGCCCGCCCTGCGGTACCTCCAAGACCCAAGAGATTCAGCAGACGGACGACTCCAGCGGCATCAAGTACGGCATTGATAGTACAAGACGCCACCGGAGATTTTCCCGCATGCCCGGTCCGAGAGGCCAGTGAGCCATTGGCTGACTATTTTGGGCGGCTACAGGTATTTACAGATACCGTAGCTGCCGCCAAGGCTCAGCAGGAGGCAGCAGAGGCAGAACGTCAGCGGCTGGCCAAGGAGGCGGCAGCCCAAGCTCAGCAGACTGCTGAGGCTGATGCAGCGGCACGAAACAGACGGAATGCCGCCAGCATGGAGAGCATCAGTGGACAACGTTACTCCAAGACATGATCTTTGTGCCTACCGAAACGCAGGCGGAACCGACACAGGCGGAGGCAGAGAAAAGTAACCTGGCTACCGTGATGTTGAACGTAATGAGGGGAGTAATGTGGAACAACAAACTACTGCAGGCACACCTGCACGCGGATGGTCAGCAAAGACAGCAGTACCAGCAAGACCTGGCCGCTGTAACAACCGACGTCCGCAACGCAGTAGTGCAGCAGCAGCAACAGCAACAGCTGATGAACTCTACCAGCGCACGCATCAACGGCATTGAGGCCAAGGCCTCAGCAGCGCCAGGCTGCACGACAGACGCGACGAAGCAAATCAATGAACGCATCGATCACGTCGTCACCATCATCGGCGACATAGGTGTTTTCAACGGACCGGACACGATCAGCAGCACTGTGGCCGCTCTCAAGACGGACATCACCAAGCTACAGACG